TAGAATATGTTACTATACATAGTCATCCTCTAGCATCCTCTATATTTCTGTATAGTTATTTTGTATATTCGACTACTTTCACTAGACTGCAAGCTCCTTGATGCTAAGGACTATCATAATAGATGCTTAGTAAATTTTGATGGATGGATAAATGAATAAATGAATCATGGTTTATGTACTTACTACTTGGTTTCTCAGCTAGGTTATAAGCCTCTTGTGGACATTGAATTTTATCTGTGTCATCTCCCAGAGCACCAGTCATTTTATCTTTTATTGTAAAAACCACATTTTTTGTTTAAACGTATTTTTTTAAAGTTCTATTCTGATATAATTGGGATATTATATCTCCAAGCCCTCTCAGAAAGTGTTTAGTAGACAATATCAGTAAAAACAAGGACTGCCATTGGTTGAGGAGTTAAGGGCTCTAACATTATTAATTCATTTAAACCATACAAGAACCTATGAGATAAGTATTATTATTTGAAAATTGAGATACGGAGTTTTAGTATCTTTCCTAAGGTTTTATACAGCCAGAAAGTTGCTTGATAAAGAGGAGTATGGGGAATATTTTGAAAGGAGATTTTCAATGACTATATAAATGTAAGATCTCCTGCCCTCTCACTTTGGTTCCGTGATTAAATGTTTATGTGAACTTCAAATCTCTAATCAGAGATTTAGCTGGTCCTCTGTTGGAGATAGATGCTTAAAGGACCACTTATTTCAAATGAGGAATAAAGTGAGTTCTGTCTTCAAAGGAGGAGAGAGAACTAATATTAACAAGAACATTTTTCTCTTTGGATTTCAGGAAAAGATTAAAAAATTAAGGAATCATGCTTTTTCTGTTGATGTTCTCTTCATTTAGTGCTGCAAACATATATTTAGTATCCACTTTGAACAATATATGCTGCTAGGTGCTATGAAAGGTACAAAGTTAAATGAGCTGCTGTATATATGTTGATCAGAGGTGCTAGGAAGTCAAAAAAAGTCTAAGAATTAGTAGAAATTAGTAATAAATAAAACAGTAATAAATAAAACAGTAATAAATAAATCTCTAGTTGTGAAAAACTTTCCTGAATAGTTTTTTTTACCTCCAGATTAAATCAACAGTCATTGAATTAGATATGTACAACAGAGCTAAAAGTATTGACAAGACCTATAGCAAGAACAAAAAGTACAGGTGATCATTGAGGTTAGATTGAATTATCTTTAAGGAGTCTTAATGATGGAATGTTTTTATTTTCATCAGGTTTTCATTTTAGCAGGTCTAGAAACTCCATTTTTAAAATCTTTCCAGAGTTAATCAGACCCAAAAAGCAATGGCTCTTACTTCCAGACTTAAAAGTGATAGCCATAGAAGTCATATAAAGCAGACTGAATGTTTATTCCTTACACATGATTGTCAGGTATGCCAGAGGACTCTTTGTATTCTTTCTCCCCTATAACAACATAAATGGCAAAGTGTTGGTTGGTGAGAATGAACTCAAAGCAGGATGAGTTAGTTGGATAGGTTGTACTATCAAGCTGTCTATTCCAAGAGGACTGCTAGATTCTTGGATCTGTTAACCAGGAAAAGTGGTGGTAAATTCTGATTCTTTGCCCTTCACTCCTCTCAGTTTTTCTAGCAGGCAATAAATACTCCCTCTCCTTTTCTGCTAGGAACTTCTTTTTTCCATTTTAGATATAATCTTATAAGTTGGGATATAGCTTTACTTTATAATCAAATATATATTTCTAGATTGAATCTGAAAGATCGTTTCTTAGGGTAACATCAGCCAGCCATTAGAAGTAGATAAAGTATTTGTCGATAAAATAGTTAAGGCCTATATTTCTGTAAATCTTGCTTTTTCTAGTTTATTCTTTTTTTAGAAAATAAACTTTCAGTTTTTAAAATAGGAAAGCAATCTCCTATATCTCTTAGTTAAGTAGACTGAAGAAATTCAGATATTTCGATCATTATACCAGAATCAAGACATAAATATTTCTCTGGAAATAAGATATCCTAATTGTAGATAACATTAAATATAAAACTTCTTATCATTCCTTGAAGAATCCGTTTTTCTGAATAGCTGAATTTTATATTTAAGAATTTATGAATTATACTTATACTCCTTAAAGATAGCAGTTATCTTACTGGTCGTTTTCTGATGGTCACTAAAGGTATTGAGTCTTTTATATCGAATGAAATTGTCTGTACCAAAGTCGATTTCAATTATTTTTAGTTTGTTTTTCTAAAATATGGCACATTTCTGTGCTTTATAAAACAAAACACAAAGTATATTAAATCTGTTTAGGCACTTGGAAATAATTTAGAGTTTCAATGTTCC